CTTGTAACACGCCTCATTGAAGGCGAAAAACCTATTCTAGTTTTCTACTCTGAGGCTCAGTTTTTCCAAGGTTAGTAGAACTGTTCCTCCTTGGCACTATAGGTCTGAATCTTTGTCAGAAACTGTGGTGTACGTGATAAATGGCGTCACACATATACTAAATAGTGATGACCCATTTAAAACCACAATAAGGAAATACCCGGGACACAACAACATAGCGAGATCCAAGAACACCAGAATAACATAGAAAAAAATGTAGAAATCTAAAAAAAAGTCTGCTTAAAAAATACCAAGAATTTCAAACAGAAGTAGACGAAAGTTTACTTCACATTCGTATACAGAGTACAAAGCACATACTAGTACACGAGAAAATAGCAAGTGGGTCAAGGAACTGTTATGAAATACGGGCGACTGTCGGTCAAGATACTAGTAGCCTGGTAGCCAGACAAAGGCAAACTTCCCAAAAATTTCTCTACGTATACGGTGACGAGTGATCAACCCGCCCAGCAAGTTCAGGATATAACAAGATGTAGGTTTGTTGTCCACAGTCAAGTGAAACACTTAACAAATAGACATGTGACACTGCAAAAACACGGCTGTGATAGCAAAATTTACACTGATACGATTATGGCATATTTGAACATAGGAAGTACCATTAAAACATACCTTTTCATGATCAATAGCTTCAACCTGTCCTTCGTAGGTTCCTCTGTACCTCTACGGCTGGGGGTACTGTCCGCCCGCACGGCTGCCCGCTCCCCGCTGGCCCTCCCGGCCATCCGCCTGCTCTCTGCTCGCCCGGCCATTCCTGTCCGATCTGGTCCCCGCTCGCCCCGACTATCGAACATATAGGAAGGTGTACCAAAGATTAATGGGTTTTCCGAATTCAGAGATTTTTACACTTTCCACTCGGTTGAAAACAGTGAGTCGTTCATTTGCTTGCAATTGATAGGGTCTATAAAGTAAAGAAGGCTGTAGAGCATTATTATTATGAACATATAGGAAAGTACACAAAACATTTGAGAATATAGAGATTTTGGCCCTTTAGTAAGATACCTTTTGCTATCTATAAGGGCAAATAGTTTCATGGACAAATCAGTACAAAATAACCTACAAGTGAACGTTCTGAAACATATTGGCCTAACATGTCTTACAGCATTTGTGTGCACACATTCAAGTTACCCAACAAAGTAATACTAACCTGATTCTGTCGGTGGAATTCCGAAGGTTTACTGGGGAAGGTTTCCTCAGAAGCCACGGGAATGGTCCTCTTTTCAAGACTATTAGATCATCGCATCAGAGAACACGTCTGTTCCATCACACAGCTACAGCCGGACTGAGGTTTGGGACTGGAGTTTGCGAGAAAGAGTCTGGAAACTCCGCCCCCTAGTCAGTATCATGTTTCCTAGATCCCATCCTATTGGCCTATCTTAGAATAACAGTAACCTAAACTGGGGGTATCCATTACATCAGAGTAATGTACACCGGGCTATCCAGTGTCCAGCGTGATTAATTATTGTCACCTGTCATCCCGCACACCATGGATGGAGAGCACAGGTTCAAGCAAAGGTCAACGACCCCTTGAACAGGGATCTGGCCCGCGAGGAGTGGGTTTATTTAAACAGATCACACAGAGAGAAGAAATTATCTGTATTTTGGGAACCCAGGATAGGTCAAAGAATCAAAAGTTAAGTCCAGTTTCTGATAGAGTGAAGTGGAAAGTGTTCAAGCGGGAACTTCACCATATATTATAGTAAAGTAAGTAAGTACATGTATGTCATTATATCGCCAGGGAAGAACGGCTGATTTCTCCTATACGTGTCTTCGGTATGTAAGGGTGCGGTCAAGGTCAACGCCAAATACCTGGTAGCTTGAGTGACCTCGGTTCCGATGGGTGACCCTTACAAGTTCGTAAGATAGCTGCCGATGTTGTAGAAAGTTCTACCCGGCCGACCACTCTACTCTCTACTCTAGATGTACGTACCCGGAACAATGACACAGGGGCCAGAGCTACATAGTAACGTGACTGTATTCTCTCCTCTCCGATTCTAACTCTCTCTTTTGACTACTAGAGTACATGGGTTTTATATCCTCTATCCACCTACACACAGATTTCTTGGAACAAGGGCATCATACTTCCAGTATCAGCCATTCTAAATCACTTCATTAGGCATTAGTGGAAAAGCCCTGACCATTACCAAATAAGGCAATGTCCAGCCACTGAGACCCTGGTCCCCTACCGTCAGGAACCCATTAGTTCTTCCTGGGTCATTAACTAGATGTCTCTCAAAGATCTCTTACATTTCTCAGAACAGGGGAAAGTGATTCAGTACAAGAACAAGAAAGTGTTTTCCAGCCTACTGTACAAGAAACTTATATAACCTAAGATACTTATTCTTATCAATATACTACAGGCTAGAGCACCCTATTACAGGTACATGCATATACATGTAGCCCCAAGACAAATAAAAAGGAGTGAATCCTATCTAGTGATTCTAATTTTTTAAGCGCACAACATAAATTTGCCTGGGCCTACAAAAACGTAACTGATTTTGGACCCCTGGTGGCTTTCCTCGTACTGTAGCAGAAATTCTGGATTCTTTCAAAGGCCACAGCAAGTAAATTTTATGGATGACATCCGCGAGCGCATTAATTTTCGTCTAATTTTGGAAAAAAAAACATGAAATTTTGTTGCCTTCTGACAGTGGTCAACATGCCGAAAATGGGCAAAGATGTCTGTTGCCATGCCGGAAGGTGGATGGCAGATAACTAGGAAGAGAGGAGACAAGAAAAGGCTCTGATTTATTGTTTGTTTCTTACTTTGATCATGGAGGTAGAAAAAAGGCCTTTTTTCTACCTCCATGCTTTGATGCAGTGATATGTGATGCTGACTGTGTATAATTGTGATGTTCCTACTGAATCAAAACCATTTGTACAATGATTGAGTCAAAATTTTACATTGTAGGAACCTTGTTTTTTTTGGCCGGCCTTGTTTTTTTTTTCGCCCGCTCGCATTAGATTTGGAGTCTGCGGAGGATGTCATCTATAAAATTTACTAGCTGTGGCCTAAATTATATGTGTACGTATATGAAAAGAACAATTGTATCAAGAACGGCACAGATTAAACACAAAATCGTCGCCTGTGTTTTTTTTTAAACATCATACTTGTTGCATTTAAGATTTCAGCATACAATATGCTTCAATCAAATGCAATATGACTGCTGTACAGCACAGAAACAAAGGCTAATCATGTAAAATCCTACTCGCGGTTACATACAAATTATACAGATGCTAGTGCGATATGATAGATGCTTATACCGACATTACAATATACATACATAGGTACAGTACAGGGCATGCAATACCAATACGTTCTACTGCGGAATTTTATACCAATAAGGCCACACCGACACCGCATTTTATGGATGACATCCACGCGCGCATTGATTTTCGCCTGTCGCCCTGAAAAAAAAAGATCACCTCCTCTGAGGCTCTGGCCTGGCTCTAGGCCTGGGTAGTCCATGGTAGTCAGCGACAATACGGAGCCCTGCACCCAGGCTATCGAATTTGAAGCTCCACGACTCAAGAACTCAGTACATAAGTACAGTACCGATTCATAAATGTCGAAAAAAGCCAGCATGTACCGGCTTGCCGTATACGTCGCTAAGTACTGTCACGAATTCACAATACCAGCTTTGTATTCCTGTGGTTTAGTAGCATTCTTATTTTGGGCCGAATTTTTTTTATTCGGCCGCGCGCACTAGTTTAGGGGTGTTCAGAGGATGTCATCCATAACATTAAATCGGTGTGGCCAAATCCTCCAAAAAGGTGTCAAAATCTCACCTCTGGGATAAAAAGTTCATGACAACCTTGACAGGATAGCCCACCTCCTGAAGTGTCTACAAGCCAGATTCTACCATTTTTGACACAGCTCTTTAAACTTTAAATGGCCACAAACAGACGGAAATCTGACCTTTCACCTTCAATGTCCAGAACTCAACCTAATCACACCACTTGGGACTACTTTCCTCAGTGGTTTTCAAAACATTCTAAACCAAAGTGTTGTTTTTTTGCAAAATCAGTGAGTATGAAGCCTTGTCCATCCCATCCCCCCAAAAACTGACAAAAGGGCTCCAAATTTTCCAAGAAAAACGAATTTTTATTGCTCTTTACTATATTCCACCCTAACCCGATATTCTACACGCATGCGCTAATAGAAATCCATTCACCAGTTTCCCATCCCCAGAATGCAATGCGAAAACAGGGGGTCTAAACTCATTTGCATAGGACAGGAAGGCATCCATCGGAATGATCCTGGTGACGTTAAACAGCTTGTTTTTCACTGTGTTTTGAGGTGTTGGGGCACTTTATGCTCAACAGTAATTAAATTACTATGGGGCGAATCTGACAACAAATAGAGAATGAAGTTTTTGTGTTCTTTTCAACATGAAACATGTGGTTTGTAACGTTACAGCATCAGTACAGCGTTACCACTGTAAAGTTACAAACCACTTATTCAAAAACATTCATTCTCAATTTGGTGTCGGATTCAACCCACAGCAAGTTAATGCCCCAACACCCCAAAACACAGTGAAAAACAAGCTGTTTGACGTCAACAGGATCATTCCGATGTCATCCTGTCCTATGCAAATGAGTTTAGACCCCCTGTTTTCGCATTGCATTCTGGGGATGGGAAACTCGTGAATGCCCCACAGATCTAATAATGTGAATGTGTCAGACGTTACCTGGTCGGCCCTCTTCTTTCTTCTTGACTCTGCTGCAGAACTGTGGCGTTTACGTTTATCAGGTTGTCTACAGTTGTCAGAAGGGAGTCTCCGATCTATGGTATAAAATAATAGCCTCCGTTGCAGACACCAGCAAGTTTTTTCGTGCCATTATTGTTTATGTTCATGACAGCACATACAAACGGATTTCGGCAAGGAATCGGAACCTGATATATAATCAGAACTTGGCAAAGTTGACTCTTCACGCACACCTTAAAATACGCGTAAAGGTACCGTTTCTTCACTCGCGTGTCCCTTAATTTACGCAAGACTTAAAGGTGTTCTTAAAGACACGATGTTGTGCATTGTGACAAGGAATCGGAACCTGATAGATATCGGATTTTGATGTCAATGAATTCATATACAATCCTTCTCTTGGCGGCTATGTAGGATGGCCGGCTATATTAAAATAACGCGTTAAAAACTCTTCCCCACCGCCGCGGGGCCTGCACAGGAGGCTACAAAAGACGAGGAAATTGTAAAGTAAAATCTGACCTGTTCAGTCGCGCTAGCGTTGACTATTTCCTGTAAAGTGTCTGTAATGGAGTTCACTTCACTAGACGAGAGAGTTTCGGCCTGTGTTGTGATCAGCTGCAGTTCCGTTGCCACAGACAGAGCCGTCTCGTTGTTTACTACAATCTGAAAAATACAAAAATAAACCCCCGCTGCAGTACTAACGAAAAGCGCTAGAAGGAGCAAATTTAACCATCTCAAATATCATCATAACCAACCTTTTTAAATTATCATTTTTAATGGTAGTGTATGTGTTGGATAGCTGGTAACTCCTATTACAGTTGTGGTTACCTATGTGAGTTTTAACATGAAAGCGTAATTCTTTGAACGGTAGAGCTCCTATATCATGGGACAGTTTGGTGTAAACACGTACCTGGGACAGTTTGGTGTAAACACTTTCCTGGGACAGTTTGGTGTAAACACTTACCTGGGACAGTTTGGTGTAAATACGTACCTGTGACAGTTTGGTGTAAACACGTACCTGGGACAGTTTGATGTGAACACGTACCTGGGACAGTTTGGTGTAAACACGTACCTGGGACAGTTTGGTGTAAAAACGTAGCTAGGAAAGTTTGATGTAAATACGTACCTGAGACAGTTTGATGTAAACACTTACCTGGGACAGTTTGGTGTAAATACGTACCTGGGACAGTTTGGTGTAAATACGTACCTGGGACAGTTTGGTGTAAATACGAACCTGGGACAGTTTGGTGTAAACACGTACCTGGGACAGTTTGATGTTAATACGTACCTGGGACAGTTTGGTGTAAATACGTACCTGGGACAGTTTGGTGTAAACACGTACCTGAGACAGTTTGGTGTAAGTACTTACCTGGGACAGTTTGGTGTAAACACGTACCTGGGACGCTTGGTGTAAGCACGTACCTGGGACAATTTGGTGTAAACACTTACATGTGACAGTTTGGTGTAAGCACGTACCTGGGACAGTTTGATATAAATACGTACCTTAGACAATTTGATGTATACACTTACCTAGGACAGTTTTGTGTAAACATGTAGCTGGAAAAGATTGATGTAAATACGTACCTGAGACAGTTTGGTGTAAATACGTACCTGAGACAGGTTTTGTAAGTCAGTATCACACATGAGGAGGACAGGCTGGTCCCACACTGCAGCTCCATTTTGTGTGATCCGACAGAAACGAGAGGCCAGGGGCTTATCTGTGAGTTACAATAAGAAGACGTGTACATGCCAAGAACACTTGAGGGTCTAATGGCCAGGGTTAATTTCTCAAAATCTTAACCTTCGAATCTTAAGAAGGTCCAATTAAAAAGCGTGCCCCCATGTCGATAGAACGTTAGGTGGGATGTTGTTAGAAAGGTGTGTTTTAGGTGAGCCATGGAGTACTAACTGGCATCAGTAAATCAAACACGTCCCACTTTCTTTCTACCTTAGGGCTTAATATTATGGATGGCATCCTCTGAAGACCCCTAAAGTAGTGCACGCGGGCGAAAAAAAATACAATTCCGGCCCAAAATAAAAATGCTACTAAACCACAGGAATACAAAGCTGGTATTGTGAATTGGCGGCAATATATAGCGATGTATACGACAAACCATCACATGCTGGCTTTTTGCGGAATTTATGAATCGGCACTGTACGCATGTAGTGTGTTCTTGAGTCGAGGATTTTCGGTAGTCTGGGTGCCCGTCTCCGTATTGTATCTAACTAACCTGAAATACCCAGGACTAGAGCCAGGCCAGAGCCTCGGGGGACGTGATCTTTTTTTGAGAACAGGCGAAAATCAATGCGCACGCGGATGTCATCCATAAAATTAAGTCGGTGTGGCCTTATCAACGTACAAAGCTGTTGTGTTGCTCCTTATATATAATCATGCGGTCTACATTCAGGTTATGCAAGTAAGTAAAAAAAAAAACGTCGTTTCCGTGCGTTATTCTCTTTGCTGATACCAATGAATGAGGAAATCTGTGCTCCTTTATTATTATGAAAAATATGCGGCAACAACATGCACATTATATAAAGAAAAAGACAATTCCCATGTCTTTGATTACCAGATGATTCATAAAACTTTAATCTGAAATACGCCCTGGTAAAATAAATAAACTCGAAACTGTTCAAATCCGCCCTGTTCACTGGTTATACATGTACACATCAATGCACAATATCATATCTTTAAGCACCTTAATGCATATTACGTAAAGGTACACATGGGTGAAGAATCGGAACATTTACGTATGCTTTAAGGTGTTTGCAAAGAATGGATTTTGTGCAGTAATACATCTATCAAAGGTTTAACAAATATCTCTCAAATATGCCGATGTGTTACTGACCATTTCCTTCGTTACAGTGTTCAGCAGAGTAGGAGAAACTTCCGCCGTATGCACGTGGAAAGGTCACCTGTCCGGCTTCATTGTCAACTGAATAAGACTCCTCCTCACAGTTGTCTGTCGTAATGGACAATAATCATAACTCGATATGGATAATAATTATAACTCTACATTGTAGAATAACAACCCAAATGGAGGGGGTAGATTATCCTGTTTCAGAAGATGGTGTAAGAAGCTGTCGTTGCGAAATGTAAAAAAAAAAAGTTCCAAATGACCAGGTAACTAACGGTATCAGGAACCAGGTATATACCAGGCCATAGCTCACGTATGATGTACGTAACGTATCTGTACCACCCCAAACTTGACGCATAGACTGTGAAACGTACGATATCAATTTTAGTTACGTTATTTTGACACGTAAATGTTGTCATATGTCACATATGATGATATCATAACCATGTCAAGTAAATGTAGCACCTACCTGAAAAAACTAAGACTTCACACAGGGTCAGAATCCGGTGGAAACCGGGAAGACGAACGCCCACGTACCGCCCCTTCATCCCCAGACAAGAGACCGAAATTGACGGCCGGTTCACGTTGATTTGATGATCGCCACCACACTTGGGGTTCTCGCTGACCTGGTCGGAATCCCCGATGTGAATATTGAAGGGGTTGAGTCGTCCCGAACAACATTCTATCCGGTTGAAGATGACTACCCTGTTGTTATTAAAAACCGAAGCCATAGCAAATGGAGTTTTATAATCATATCGTCTTATACAATGTTTTAACACCATATAAAAATTGTTTTAACAAGTTAACTTAATAGATTCTTGATTAATATAGTCACGAGAAGGTCTTGGGACTTGCATCTTAGGACATTCCTGTGCCAATGCAAGTATTGATTGACACACCCACATGAAGCAGACTTAGATATAGATTATAATTTGTTGACTGTTGCTACTGGATGTACAATTAAGCTCATTAAGTTCACATGTTACTAACTTCATACGGATGAAAGGTAAAAAAAAAACATTTTATTTTCAATGGAGCACGCTTTGAATATGTTATGCATATACTCAGCACAAAAACTTTGGAAACTTAAATTTGATCAAAGACATTTCGGTTATTGTGAAAAAGAATTATGTATAATTAACAAGCTTATTTATTAACATTTACATTGATCCTGTGTGAGTTTCTGTGCACTTGATTCATAAATCATAAATCATAAATCATAAATCATAAATCATAAATCATAAATCATAAATCATAAATCATAAATCATAAATCATAAATCATAAATCATAAATCATACGTGTTGTACACGTACCTGTCGACCATATACGACTGACCAAGATCCACCCACCAGCTTGGATCAGTTTCTCCCCCATCTACAGTGTGTGTACAGGTACCAGGCTGAGCGAAGAAGTCGCCATCAGTGTTCCCGTCTACGGCACGGTCTGCAGGTGCATCCGAGCTGGTTTGGTACGCAGGCTTCCCCAGGGCGAGATTGACACCTGTTACAGACAAGAGGACTATTATCATCAGTTAGTGTTGTGTAGGTACCGCCTTCTTGTTTGTACGTACCGTACGTTCCTTATGCGGGAATGTTTAAGTGAATAGAGACGATCGGAGACGTTTTAGTATATATAGAATCCGGCAGGCATAGCCGTACCCCTCTGAAAGACAGAACGTGCGAATTCTGTAATCATTTATATGTTAAAATCGAGATACACTTTCTATTTGACTGTAGAGCGCCAAGAACTATTCGCTACTTTACAATTAGACAAGACATGTAAGAAAATGTCAAAGCAGGACACGTTTAAACGCTTGATGTCATGCAAGAACGAATGTATAGCAGATAATCTATGTAATTATGTTTCCAAATTTTTCAAAAAGAGAGAAGAAAGGACAACTAACAGTAGACGATAGGTAGTATATAGTATTGTTGTAATTTATTGTAGATGTTATAGATTCCTAGCAATTAGCATTAGGATATAGCGTTTCAGTATGCAATACTCTTGTTTTGCATACTGCATGTCCTCGTGCATTTATCACATCTGGGCAAGAACATGCAATAAAGATCCATATCATATACAAAAACAGCTAATTGGATATGACGAAAGACATGTTGAACTGGAAAGGCCGACATTTCCTTGCTTGGGACAAAATGCAGCAGATGGCTTCACCACATCCCCCGTAGACCTATCCTCCTTCTGCACAAATGGACTGTTCCTAAATGAACCCTGTCCAAAATATGTAGTGTTCCAATTTTCTAATATACCCCCATGCAGTAATGGAATCTCCCAACGCCTTCTGCTGTTGGAACATGTAGAACCCTGGTAGAACCCGAGTGCTCTAGTTAGAACTGTCGGTTGGGGATTTGGGTTATCAAGCTAAATACAGTCCCTGTTTTTACTCAAAATGACGTAAATAAAAGTATTTTAAAGAGTTGAATCTGATATAGTGAACACTATTGTCTATCTACGTATTTGGTGAGCTACCTTAAACCTGAATTCAGGTCATTTGGTTTTCGTATTAGCGCATAGGAGCCAAACATGTACATTTTTGGTCAAAATAGCAAAAAGTCCCATTTTACACAATTTCAAAGTGACACACGCCAAAAGCGTAAAGGTTGTATCCAAGGATCTCCCATACGAAATTTCAGGTCATTTGGTTTTTAATATTAGGGCATAGGAGCCAAAAATGTACATTTTGGGTCCGGAAATAGTCCAAGAAGCCCCATTTTACACAACCTTGAAGTGAAGTATGTCAAAAATTTGAAAACTATTCTGTCGAGATGTGTCCAAGGTATTTCCATACCAAATTTCAGATCATTTAATTTAATTACGAGGGCTCCAGACCCCAAAATGTATATTTTTTGCCTGAAAATGACCCCCCCCCCATAAAAACAAAATAAGACAATTAAAACAAAAATTTAAAAAGTCCGGGGGTATTTGCCACTCAACCTCCATGCCAAATTTTAGGTCATTTGGCTGAAAAATGGTAAACTTGAATCCCTTTAAAGAACTGGCAAGATGAGGAGAAGAGGCGGAGAAACATGAGAGAAAGCAATATGTCTTCACCACGTGGTGTGGTGAAGCCATAACTAAATTATTACGAGTTAATTAAACGGAGGAGAGTATAGTTTTGGAGAGATATTAGCATTCATCAGAAGGGTATAAAATCAGTTTGCTTTAGTGTGGATTTAGCGGCATAACTTTTGAAGTCATGGATTGATGTTTTGGCAGGCATGATTGATTTTTGGCAGGTAGGTGCGGGGTACCTGCGTCGTCGAAATAGGCCGTGTTTAAGTGAAGTCACCCAAGGCGCTTTACATGTGGTTTACCCCGAAGCCGGTTTCAAGTGGCCCCTTCTGAACGCTCCAAATCACATTGAAAGCGCCTCGATCCCAAGCCATTTCTAGAGGTGGTTTCGAATCGGTTTTCCCGCATAGCGATTTGCGTCTGAACGCGATGTGATTTCAATGTGACTTCACTTGGTCATGGATTACGGGGTGATATTTCTTTATCTATACGTTATGCCAAATTTTACGTGTCAGCAACTTAAAAAGTAGTAATGGTCAAATAATGTGTCAGTTCTAGGACGAGCTTCACCGCCTCTGGCGGGACTACGTCGGCATTCGGCCGAGATACGCTGGGAGGGGGGCACCAGGAAGCAGGTCGTTGACCTCTGACAATAATGACACGCTATCTTCCGTGTTTTCATCAAACAACATTGAATGTAGTTTCGGTGAATCGTGATCGGGCACGTTTTAAAAGGAATGTATGGCACGTGGACCAGATGTGAGGAATGTCAGTTACCCGAATCGCGGTTTGGGTGACTTCACATAAACACGGCCTTTGTCGTTAGATAGCAGGATAACTCGAGTACATGTATATGTAAATGGTGGTTAATGATTTTTGGCAGGCAAATTAATGTTAGGGAGGCCATGGTGTGGCTTGTGGGGAAGTGCGATGAGCCTTTTTTGTGGCAAAATTTCGAAGGGCAATTTATCTCTGCGTTTATCTAGGTTAACGACCTTCTGGCTAAGGCAGATCAGCTCTAATGACCAGGAGCGACACCGGAAAAGTTGTAATAACTGTTCTTGTAGCAAGAAAACCATTCTGTACACAAGAAAAGATTACTTGAACTAAGAGCTAACTGTTCTGACTTGTAGCAAGAAAAACCATTCTGTACACAAGAAAAGATTTCTTGAACTAAGATCTAACTGTTTTGTAGACGAAAACCATTCTGACACAAGAGAGTATTTCTTGAACTAATACCTAGCTGTTCTTGTTGCAAAAAAATCTTTCTTCACACAAGAAAAGATTTCCTGAACTACATGTAAGAGCTATCTGTTCTTGTAGCAAAAAACATTCTGGAAAAGATTTCTTAAACTACATTTGTAAGAACTGTTCTTGTAACAAGAAAACCATTTTGTACACAATAAAAATAAATATACAGTTCCCTTTTGTCTTTGTTCAGGTCTTAGTTCAATAAATCTTTTGTTATGTACAGAATGGTTTTCTTGCTACACGATATATACAGTACCAAAAGTTCTTTTTGTTGTTTTTTATATTTTCTTATGGGAAGAATTATGTGGAGACAATTTTTCTAGAATGGGCGTCCTTAAATCTTGATTTTTCTTTTCAGTAAAGAAATATTTATAGAGGAAATTTTAACTAACAAGAATAGAATTCTTTTAATCTTAAAATTTCTTTAGTAAAGACAATATTTCTAGGGAAGATTCAAAATTATAAGATTAGAATTATTTTACTCTTAAAATTCCCCCAGACTTTGGTTCTTGTCTTTCTCGGCGAACACTAATTGGAAAAGCAAGAAATTTAAGATATCTAAATTTATGACAAGAATAAAGCTCTGCTTAGTTTTTCTTCCTTAAAGTTTCTTGTTTTTGTTGACTGGAAACCATTCTTGTTTTTCTTAGCAACATTTAAGAAAATACAACAATTAAGTTCTATTTTGAAATTTACGAAATAAGACTCTTATTTTGCCTGGTAATGTTCAAGATGATGTAAGAACGTTTTTACTAACTTTCTAGTTTATTCTTAACTTTTCTGAACCCCTGGTTGGTTGATTCAAATCCCAGAATGCAGTTAGGGGGGTTTGAACATTAGTCAGATGTGGAATCCGTGCTGGTACTTATTTGATATTAATTATTGACTTTTGTCAGACTTAAAGTCAAAATCATGTTAAAAAGGACCTTGTGTACATGTGCAGCAATGGTGATCGTGGTCAGCTTGCAGAAGAAACCAACTTTGCAACAGAAAAAGCATGAAACCAAACAAATAGAACGTAAGTGCGCCCCCCTCCCCACCTAGAAGAAAAATCTGTTGACATTGTTTTTAAATTTTAGACTTCATAGCCAAAATATTGTTACGTCATTGGGGTTGATTTCAAAGTCAAATCATATCACTGCTGTGTATTTTTGGTAGTGTACATGATAGCGTAAACTGATGACGACACCAAAACATGTCTGTTGATCTAAATTCCGATGCGGATGCAACCATTATCAACATAATCATGAAATGTACAACAATGAACGCAACATTTTTTTTAAAGTTCCAAAATTGAAAATGCAATCGTCTGCTGCTGACCTGATGGAGAGGCTTGACAGATGAACTTCCTGTCTTCGGCGAGGTTACATGGTCCATCGTTCCATGAGTTACTGTACATGTCGGGATAGTACTCGGCACAGTTCTCGCCGTTACCGATGTTGCTGGGTTCTCCTGTAGCCCATGGTCTGAAGTCGCCCAGAGGAACGTTATCGTCCCACATCCAAACTCCCTCCTGGTGGACATCAGTCAGTCCAAAACGGAACCAAGCGTTCTTGTCGATGAAATTTTTCAGATAGATGAGGAAGTTGTTGGTTGTGCTGTCGCGGGGCATGGCAAGGGTCCCCCCGTCTGAAGAACACCTACTGACTGCACCGTTGTAGGTTGCCGTGTCGTTGAAGGCCTTGTAGCACAGACGACTAGGCTGATGGTAAAAGTACCCTGGCTGAGGGCAACCTATTTCAGAGCGAATAAAATTATTATTTCAACTGCATTCACTTAGTACACTCTGTATCTTAAAAGTATGATTAAAAAGTATATATTACATCAAGCATGAAAACTGACCTACTTCTGAGGCCATCCACGTGACAACCAAAAAATGCCCCGAAATGTGCAGACATTCATTTAATAGCAAGTGGTATGATGTACATTTGGTAAAAACCTCAAACCAAAAAATTACCATCTTTGGATTTACAGCACTTTTGTTGGGCAAAAATCATGTTTCTTGACAACCCTAAAACACTGTATTGTTTTGAGACTGAACAAGCACTTTAAATTAGATTTTTGAAACTTTCAAAGGTTTCTTAGAAAAGCAAAACAATTGCCCTTTTTAGCCTAGTTTTTGTTTTGCTCTAATGTTCAAGCGTTTGTTCATAATTTAGTCCTAAACTTTTGAACTTTTCATGTTTTTGACATGCCCAAATCTGCGGAAATGGCAAACAAAACTTGTTTGGACAGTTAACATAGAGACGATCGCTTATGACCGGAAAGAAAGCTATTTCGAGGGGTTGTGTACCAAGTACTATCACTGTGCAAAATATGACCCACATCTATTTTTTTACCCCTGCCACCATTGTTTGATCCTATATCATATATCAAAATATCAATGGTTTATTGTGGCGACTTAAAACAACCATACAGTGGCAGCTTTTTAGCTGAATTATAGTATGGCAATACAAAGATGATTATTATTACACTTAATGTACACTATTAATACTTACACAATACAACTTAAAATGCCTTACGTTAGGCCTGGACATATTAAAACCATTCCATTAATGTGATAAGACGTATGAATACATCAATCGTGTCATGTATCGTTGTGTAGATCAACCAGGAAAGGCAGTGTAGTCTTGCGATACCTCTCAGTTCTACATTTGATCTGTGTTACAGTATGTTTTGATCTACACATCCTTACAGATATTTTCTATCTCCTAATACGTTACGTATGGATGAAACATACGTTTTGCCACACGTGTCATATACGTGGCGTCTTGACTCCAAAATAAGTACACGTACCTGCTTCAGTAACTGGAACCAGCAAACCCCAAACCGTGAGGAAAAGCGCTACTTCCAGCACAAGTGCAGCCAGTCGCCCTGCCGCGGTCCGTACGTAACCCTGCCTAGCCATTTCCGTGGCGGGTCACACACACAGAATTAAGACTTTCAAGAATCAAACAAACACTAGTAACGCGTTTGAGACGGACTGCAATTACGCTTAGTGTTCGATCTATACCTAGAACGCCCCCACGTTTCCTTGTTCCTGTTTCGTGGGACTAGTACACTTGCAACATCTGGTGTACCTCAAGATAACTCCAAACCTGTCGACTAGAACATTACTCCCGACCCAATCCTCTTAACAATGCCCGGTACAGTTGAGTTTGGCAGTATCAACGTTCGGGAGACCATATTTGGCTACGTGTGTCAGGGGCTTGACAAGAAGCTTTGATCGAGTCAGTCAATATTTGCACGACACAGCAAACTTATACCTACAGCCTCAACCTGGCGTACGTGTTTTTTACCTACATGAAAAAAGGAGGTATTGTTTTTGGCTCGTCTGTGTGTGTGTGTGTGTGTGTGTGTGTGTTTGTTTGTGTTTCCGCACATTTGTAGTCAGCATAACTTCACAACGCCTTTATGGATTGTGATGATATTTGGTATGCTGGTAAGTCTAGGAAGACGAAGGTCAAGGTCAAATATAGGCCTCCTGGTGAATGACCTTGGTAACGTCGTGTCGGCCATGAATGAATCACCGAGTGAATGAATGAGTGAATGAATGATTGAATGAGTGAATAAATGAGTGAATGACTAAATGAATGAATGAATGAGTGAATGACTGAATGAATGAATGAATGAGTGCAGGAATGAATGAGTGCAGAAATGAATGAGTGAATGAATGAGTGAATGAATGATTGAGTGCAGGAATGAATGAGTGAATGAATGAGTGAATGTCTGAATGAATGAGTGCATGAATGAGTGAATGAATGAGTTAATAAAAGAGAATGAACGAATGAATGGATGAGCGAATGTAGACATTTATTGATCATACATTACCACTAGTTTAAGGAAAGGTTACAACAAAGGAATGGCTTCTATTCAATGCATATATGTACATGACTATGCCGGAACTAGCACTATATTTATAGTCTATTAAGTAGATTCAGCCTTTCCTCGCTTCTCTGTGATGGAGAAAAGGTATACGTAAGAATAGATATGTTTTAGGATCAGAGGTTTGTCAAAGGAAAACGGCTAACGGCCCGATACAAGTCTGGCACCCAGGCTAAAAATCGTGGTAAACATTACCTTTGACCTCCAAGTCACCCGACGCGTGTTTTTGTCCTTTGGACTTACCAAAACAAACCAGGCAGGGTCGAAATAGGCCGTGTTTAAGTGAAGTCACCCAAGGCGCTTTACATGTTGTTTACCCGAAGCCGGTTTCAAGTGGCTCCATCTGAACGCTCCAAATCACATTGAAAGCGCCTCGATCCCAAGCCACTTCTAGAGGTGGTTTCGAATCGGTGTTCCCGCGTCTGAACGCAATGTGATTTCAATGTAATTTCGCCTGGTCATGGATTACGGGATTATATTTCTTTATTTATATGCAATACCAACTTTTACGTGTCAGCAACTTAAAGAGTAGTAATGGTCAAATAATATGTCCGTTCTAGGGCGAGCTTCACCGCCTCTGGCGGGACCACGTCAGCATTCGGCCGAGATACGCTGGGAGGGGGGCATCAGCAAGCAGGTCGTTGACCTCTGACATTAATAACACGCCACCTTGCGTGTTATCATCAAATAGCAATAATTGTAGCTCAAGCGAATTGTGATCGGACACGATTTCACAGGAGTGTGCGGCACGTGGACCAGATGTGAGGAATGTGAGTTTTCCGAATCGTGGTTTGGGTGACTTCACTTAAACACGGTTAGACCGTTCCTTTTGCCTTGCGTACAATTGTAAATATTTGACGGACACGCAGCCCTGACATGGCCGTACCCTTAAACTAATTATTGCCATGCTGTCATTGGTTGTGAAGCTAATTGTGTTACACATTCAGGATAGGTTACTAGGTTCATTAGTTCAGCAGTATTTCTACCTGGGCTATTACATAGTCTCCTTCGCAGACCTGTATGGGGCGGTAGTTTTTTTTTTTTTCGGCGAGCGGCGTGAGTTATCCCGCGGAGGGACGATTTTGCCGCCGACGTCAACAAATCAAATTGGTGTGGCCTTATATGAACACGTTTTTTTTTTTCGGAAATGGATGTTGATTTTGCGGTTGAAAGGCTCACTGACATGTAAGGCTGGAATTATTTATACGTCGGAAATTCACCTTCATATATAACCACAGTAGAGGACAATTAATACAAATCTAATATAATATAATATAAACCTTAGCAATTCCCCATTCTATGTGTAGTTGATGTAGCTAAGTCTGGGCGGTTGACGCCGATAAAAAAAGTCGAACTGTGGACGTCCGGAGCAGCTAAGAGCCTACTTTCGGTCTCCTGGATCTAAGCCTGTAAAAAAAGATATAATATCAAACATTTATCGATTCAGATATCACCTACCGTATGGCATGGAGCGAAGCATCAAAATCATCATTACATATCTTGGTCCTCTTGTAAAATGTATTAAAGTTACATCTGTAAGTCACAGCATTTTGTTTGCTTGTTTGTTTGCAAGTTATAATCGTGTAAATCGTTTAGATGGAATATGTGTACATTTGTCTCCGTCACTGTGTAACACAAACCCTGCCGTCCGCGGCTTTAGTGGCCCCTCCCCGCAGATTTTCGGGGGGCGGCTGGATGTTGGGCGGGCGGCAACCGTACAGCGATTTAATCAGGCTATCTCCGTATGTAGCTCTAGAGTACTGGTCCACAACTGCATTTCGATGTTCGATTCGCGATTGTTGAGAAAACAGAATTCGTCTCTGAGTTTCTTACCTTTTTCCTTGTACTCCCTCTCCTCCGTGCGAGCCTCGGGTGCCTCGTCGAGATCGCCCAGTTCCTCCAGGAGGGACCTGGCCTCCTGTTTGACCTCCATCAGCTCCCCTGTAAAAAGGGCAGACATTTCAAAAACAGTAATCGGGGTCGTCTGGCGTAACGGCAGAGCTTACGGCTAGGAACCAAGATGTCCCGAGTTCGAATCCTGCAATGCCACCCATATTGTGCTCTAAGGAAACTAAGGTACTTAACACGACCTTCCTCACTTAACTCAGGTAAAAATGAGTATGTCTATTGTCCTATCCACAGTTGTTGGCCTCTGCGTTTATGGCGGTGTGAAAATAAGTTGCAAAAACTTGAGTGAGCCGTAACCATCTGCATATTGTAACTTAAAGGTTCTTAGTGGCAAATTATGCATGCAGATCTAGCAATTGTCACGTTGTCATTGGCGACACCAAATCCGTCTGTGTCCTCATCAATGTAAGGATACTGTGTCGACTTTGGCCGTGTTTATGTGAAGTCACCCAAATCGCGATTCGGGTAACTCACATTCCTCACATCTGGTCCACGTGCCACACATTCCTTTGAAACCGTGTCCGATCACAATTCGCCTGAGCTACATTTATTGTTGTTTGATGAAAACACGCAAGGTAGCGTGTTATTAATGTCAGAGGTCAGCGCCCTGCTTGCTGGTGCCCCCCTCCCAGCGTATCTCGGCCGAATGCCGACGTGGTCCCGCCAGAGGCGGTGAAGCTCGCCCTAGAACTGACACATTATTCGACCATTACTGCTCTTTAAGTTGCTGCCACGTAAAATTTGGTATTGCTTATAAATAAAGAAATATCACCCCGTAATCCATGACCAAATGAAGTCACATTGAAATCACATTGCATTCAGACGCAAATCGCGATGCGGGAAAACCGATTCTAAACCACCTCTGGAAGTGGTTTGGGATCGAAGCGCTTTCAATGTGATTTGGAGCGGTCAGATGGCCTTAGCGACCGTTGTCGTAATTTCATTCCACTGGAAAACTGTTGCTTTAGAAGTCTGTTAGATTGAACTTTGCTTGAAGGACAACCTTGTGTCATAGGTATATGCGGGATATACATTCACGTATACCATCCCCCCAGCCGGGCTCAGGGAAATGGCGGCACAACTTTTCATGGCTATTTTCATCTGTTGGCTGATAAGTACCACTATCATTCCAAAAAGCAAATTTCCCGGTATTTTCGTTACGAAGTAATCTCCAAGCAGATCCTCGAGTGACAAAAGACAGTATCAAATTTCCAGGCAGTATGGACTCTCTGGCGAATGGATACTGCCTGGAAATTTGATACCGTCTGTTGCCACTATAGGATCTGCTTGGAGATTACTTCGTAACGAAAATACCGGTAAATTTGCTTTTTGGAGTAATTGTCCCTAGGACCTGCGATTTGCATCCGTCTATTAGGAGTAGGCAATTGTGGCAACAAATTATTGATTTCATTCTGAAATTATGCAGGGATTTTTTAGGGTACTCCCCCTGTCTTATTGGTTTTGCAATAAGCCATATGTAAATTGTCCTGTGTGGTATAGGAATGCATCAGGTTTTAGAGCTGCATGATTTAAATTGTGAAGGTTTTTCAGTTCGTGTATAAATCCGCCGTATTACGCAACTGGCTTTCCGGGTGAGTCGAAGTGAGTCATCATGGGGTCCTTAACTATAGAAATCCCCATAGGGCGATAACTATGCTCTGCTACCACAAAAATTTGCGAATTTCAGGATGGCACCCCGTCTATAGCTTTCATATGTTGCGACGAAAATATATTGTCTGTAACGAACAAAATTCTGATGCAGCGTTGATTAAACATCCATGGAAAACTCTAGAAAATCTAGGTTTCGCGCACGCGCAGTACGTTTTGTGGACTTGCTCAATGCCCATGCCATAAGTCGACGACAGTCGCCATTTTTACGCCAAGATGTGACGAGGAGAACTTGTACTACAGTCTCCAAAGTACGTATTGTGAACTCCCTGCTCAACCATCCTGCATTAGAAGAATCGGGGTGAGTTTATTTTTATTTTGACCCATGGTTTCGCACTGTAGTGGGTAATAAACGTTTGTAACGGTGGTCGACTCTCTAATTATCTGCAGGAACCAGGTTTATGTTGCGCCATTTTGAAAGGAGCCAAAGTCCCAAGAACGCCCCCAAAGTCCGCCATTGTTTCAAAATCTCTTATTGCAGCGTCTTCTGTCATAAAAAACAACAAGAAAAGGACAATATCTTGCCAACGACAAGACCATAATCGTTGTAAAACTTTCCAAAAGTAATTTTGTGTGTGTGTGTCTGAACCCGGGTAGAAGCAAGTGCATCTTTATGTCATACCTAATGCTTAGCAATAAATTCAAGAATAATTGCCTAAAGTAAAAAGCACCAGATGAAAAAAAAGAGTTTTTTTTATGTCCTCAGTTTTCTAATGTGACCCGCATGTGTATTTTATATACCTTACCTTCAGACCTTAGATCCCTCCTCAACTATTGTTGCATTGGTCGACAAACAGATGTATTTTAGACGGGTTCAAAATATTTTAGTCTTGTTCTAATCCAGATATTCACACCATCAAACGTAAACCTATTTAAAGTCAATGATGCGCCGTGACGTTTTGTAAGTACGTTCCGCTTTTTCAAGGTTGCATAAGACCGTATGTAAGAGCGAATCCCGTAGTCAATAGTCCGTACATAAGGACGGCATAGTGATTTTTGAAACCTGCAGAAATCAGTGTAGCGAGAGTTGAGACATTTGAGACTGTTGACATAAATGTTGTTTGTTCAGTCGGCGATGATCAGGGCGTGTCTCGGCTGCAGTTCAAATAACACGCCCACCCTCTCAAAGCGCTATAGAAAATGGGCTTTGCTAGATCTATAGAGCACGAGTTTGAGTTGATTTTAATGATTGTCCTAAACCCAGACAATTTAATTCCAAGCTTGCTTGTACGCCCTACTACTACTGTGATTCTAAAACGGTCGAATCTTCTCACTTTGGGTTCCTTATCCATGTCAATCCCATAACTTGAGGCAGTATACTGGGTTCTGCCACCTTATAATCAGGTCCTTCCTTTTTTACAACAGGTGAGTTGCGCCCCCCCCCCCCACTACCACCATGGCTGGACTTTCGCAGCATGTCAAGCTCTACATGAAAATCAACGACAACCTGTCCGAGGATGACGTCAGAATTCTTAGAGCCACGCTGGTTACCGACGGGCATCTTGGCCAAGCACGACTGGAAAATGCGACGCCTCTAGACATCTTCAACATGCTAGAAGCAGATGATAAGATCGGGACGGGGAACTTAGCTCTGCTCGGGGACCTATTGAAAGGCCTCGGTAAGACAGAGTTGGCACAAGAAGCCGAGGATGTGGCGAAATGTGAACAAACAGAAGGTACGATAACCCTTGTCCCCTTTGAAAGCGTTATCAGCAAATACACACACTCCGCTTGAATGGACTTTAATATACCAACATATCATAACGCTGACCTGTGCATGGGTTAACATAACATTTGATGTCTGTTGCCATCCAAGTATTACAAAAATAGATAGGTGAGTTTATAATAGGTTCACATGACAGTTTATGACAGTTTGTAAATATTTTTCAAACATAAACTGTCATGAAGGAAAAATATTATTCTACTGAAACATTTAGAAACATAGAGATTTAAAAAAAAAACGATGATTAAGTTCATGTGTTGTCATATTTCAGGGCCGTCATGCGCTATTGATGACGTCATCAGCTGCCTGAAAGACCTGTATGGCAGAGAACACGCCAGTGTGCGGCCTCTTCCGTGGTGCGAAGATTTCCACCTGCCTTTGGAACAACTCTACACCAACCTGCAACATCTACAACATCTGCAGGACGATAGGAAGCTCTTCCAGGAAGTCAATATCGTAAGCTTAACAGATATTTACAAAACGAACGAAGCTAAAGCTAAGAATGGAAGGCTGGGTGTTAGAAGGATAAGAGTAGAGGGGGATCCTGGTATTGGGAAGTCGTGCTCTTGTCAGAAACTGGCTCTTGATTGGGTCTCTGGGAAACTGGGTATTTTCAAGGTCGTATTCTTTCTGGAAATTCGGCACATGTCTGGAAAGGTTAAAGACGCCATATTTGAGCAGCTCCTATCAGAGGATACAAACATGACCCCGGACCAGCTCTGGTCCTACATCCAAGAGAACCAGGATGATGTTCTCTTCATCCTGGACGGTCTAGATGAGCTCAGTCAGAAAGCTAGGGAGAACACAGATGTAATGTCCTTGATTCAGGGTAAAGTCCTCCGAAACTGTCATGTCCTGGTGACTTCCAGGTCGTACCACTGTGATAAAGAGCTGGCGAGATGTGACGAGTTTTACAAAATCCTCGCCTACAGCTCCGAGAACTCTGCTGAATTCATAAAGAAATACTTCAGCCACAGTATCGAATCTGCAACAAAGCTAATAGAACAGCTCACATCCAACCCAAATCTGTCGAGATTAGTTGAAAACCCTCTCAACAGCGTGCTCATGTGTATTGTTTGGGAAGACAATGAAGGAAAATTACCTTCCAGTCAGGCTGAACTGTATCAAATGATTGTATGTTTAGTTGCCAAGCGTTACTGTGCAAGGAAAGACATCCCCTTGGAAGGTGATGAAATTCCTTCAAACATAGAAGAAGCATTGAGAGGCTTGGGGAAACTGTACTGGGAAGGACTAGGGCAGAACCAGTTCCAGTTTAGGATAGCCGATATCAGAGAGAATTCTGATGCGAATGGCGATGTCATATTGGACTTCGGTTTACTGACAAGAGATAAGTCTGTGTCCAGAATCAAACGCACCTTCTTCTTACATAGGGCATTTCAGGAATACGTGGCTGCCTACTACATCAGTGAGTTGGTCAAAAATGATGCAAAACGTGAAGAGGGGAGAGAATATCTTCGTAGCTTGTTTGGTATGTCAGAAGCTACAGCAAGTTTTCTTGACATGGAACTGATGTCAAGAAACCGTCTCCGATATGGCGAAGTACAAAACTCTTTGCTTGCCTTCTTGGGTGTCAATTCAGGCTCTCTGTTTGAATTCTTTGCAGAGGAACTAGGCATAGATGAGTGTAAAGAGGAGGACAAGGATCTTTTGTCGTTTGTCTGTATCATGTTGCTTGGTAGAGTCCGTGGAGAGGGTAGAATGCATATGGCAGAGATCGTGGCACCTTGTTTGTCTCAGCACATAACTAACCAACTGGGGTTCTTTATGGATGAACGATTCAGAGATGATCATGCTCGGTGGATTGACGGTTTGACACAAGTAATAAAGTGTCAAAATGCAATGGCTATAGACCAAGCTCCGAGGTTGATACAGCATCTCAGTATTGATACCACTAATATTCAATCGTTTGCCTTGCAACAGCAGCAAATTGTTGCGTTAGAGGATGCATTATCAGATTGTACTACAATTGCTTTTGTGACATTACGGAGCAGAAATGAACTCATGAGGGCCACACACAAGTTCTCCCCAGTTCGTGCATTCATCCCCCAACGTGGGACTGAAAGTGTTCACATAGATTTCAGATTATTTCTAGACATGGACAACATGTTGTCGGAATTGTCAGCACTAGAAAATCTGCAACATGTCACTATCGACATAGGGAGTGTCATAGACGCCGCAGGCTACTCACAACTCAGCCCAAGGTTGGCTGATTTAGTTATGAAGCAGAGTTGTCTCAGATCTCTAAAGGTGAAGATAGTTGACTGGCTTTGTCATTATTCACATGGGTCAAGAGGGATCGACAGTAAAGGGAAATTCCTACTAAGTATCTCTGAGCATAAAACGCTCGAGGTAGTGGAGGTACAAGATGCTAGAAAACACGTGTTGTTTCAGACGCTAGGAAGCATCAAGGCCTGAGACCTTTTATATCGATGCATGGGTAGACAAACTGGCGGAATGTATAACTAAGAACAAAGTGCTTAGAAGACTAAAGCTTAGCTGGATGCCCACGTACCAAATGCAGAATAATCCGGACTATCAGTCCCCAATATACAGGGGGATCTGTAGCCGCCAGTCCCTTTCTAATCTTTGTTTAGCTATTCGTGGGAACAGAACATTGGAGACATTGGCTATCGATATAATGTTCTCAAGAGCAGAGGATCATCAGGACATACATGTAATCTACCAGCTAATGCGAATAAACCTAGCAAACTATAAGGAACTCAGTTTGAATTTTGAACAGAGCACTCAGTACACTTTCACGTACAGTTCCAGTAGTGATAGTGACTATGATTGTTAGTAAAAAATGGGATCACCATGGTCAAAAGTACATGTACATTGGGCTTATACATCTATACCTAAAGCCAGGATCAATTCCATATTGAACTAGAGTTCCACGATCTCATACCTTCGCCAAACGATGTTAATCTTTTTGACTGACAAGGTAAAGATTATTCCTCCTGATTATGCAAATAGGATCCTCATTTGCATGAATGCCTCATTTATCATCTTCTCCACCAAAAGACAGCCTTATCTTAACAAAGAAAGCCGTTACCGTTATTTCCTCATAAATTATGCAAATAAGGTCCTTATTTGAATAAGTTATGTTTAATGATGTTCACCTTCACTTAACTTTCAAATACCCCGAGTATGAAATTCCAGGCAGTTAACATTATGGAATGATAACATCTTCTCATTAATTATGCAAATTAAGTGTTAATTTACAGATTTATAGAATAGAATCGGCTATCCGTCAACCGGGTCTTGAGTTCTCCTCTTTTGAATATTTTTAAAGAAACGCCCTGAGGTACTAGAGCAAGCCTCTAGGGGGCCCAAACCTACATCACTTCTTCCCCAGCACAAGAGCTATTTACCATCCAAATTTCGTGAGATATTAAAACCGGATGTTCCGCTGCAGTACCACAACAAGCCGCCAGGGGCCCAAAATCTAATCATTTGTAGGTCTCATCAAGACCTACCCACATACCAAGTATGAAAACAATTCATGTAAGCCGTCTTGAGTTATCTTGTTTACAGGCACACACACACACACACACACACACACACACACACACACACACACACACACACACACACACACACACACACACACACACACACACACACACACACACACACACACACACACACATACGAATGCCTCTGAAAACAGTTGGCGAAGGTAGTAAACTGTACATTTTTCTTGGAGATATGAGATCTCCGAATTCTTGTTATCGCTTGTAGGGCAGCCGGGAGCAAGACCACATTAGTACAGATACTAACGTCAACATTGTAGTGAACAGCAGTACACCCCGTGGCCCTAGCATACTGTCTTGGTAAGAACAAATTTTTTTTTAAGTAACAGCAACTATCAAAGCCAGTCAACTGAACTTACTTAAATTTGAGGAGTCGCATTGACATCATGAAATTAAACATAAAAGAAGGAAAGATATTATAATAGCTATAGTCAGAAAACGCACTGTATTTACCTAGAAATTTGAAAGAGCTACATTCAAATAGCCCAGCGACATTCTTCATTTTTGCCGAATAGCACCAAATTGGCACAGGCAGATTAAAAGAAAGTCTTAGAAAATCTGAATTTCAGTTTTTGATTTCAAGGTCATAAGTATACATTTAGGGTTGTGTCCGAAAGCGTCAAAAATATATAAGGATATAATTTATCCAAATAATTTGCACTTCCTTGTTGAAAAAATTAGAAATGAGAATCATTTGCCAGTTCTTTCAAGAGTGCGACCTTGCACACACTATTGTTGATATCACATAATATTGTACAAGTGTACACCATTTGTATCTTCTGAGGTTACCATTTAAGCTTTATCCTTACCATTGCGATTGGTAAATATACTATAATAATAATATACTGAATATACTATGTATAATATCACAATATGCATATAATTTAGACAAAAGGTTTAATAGTTTCTTGGGTACTCGAGGGAATAGGCTACAGTTGTAACATTGGGTGTTTCTTTATTTGTGCTCATGTAAAAATGTACAAAGATGAATATTAAGGTTGTGTTTTTTGTACTATTATTGTACACGCAGATATCGTTGTATCTTCTAATGTTACCATATTGCATTGAGCTTTTATCCGAACCATTGCGATTTCTATGTAAGATCTAATTTGTCATAATATGTAATATACTATGTAACTGAAACAAAAGCTTCAAAGTATGCTTGCATAATGTTTGCATTTCAGATCACATAGGTTTATACTTGGCATGGGAATATATGTGTTTGTTAATGACTATGTATAAATGTACAAAATGAATATTAAGCTTTTTGGTGATTTTGTTACCTTAATAAAATTTATCGCGTTCAAAAAGAAAACTATTCGTATCTGTTAGATGAGATTACCTTATTATAGGCTTGTAGTGTAGTGTGTATCGTGTATCGTGGTGATCATTACTGATATATAATGTTATTTGATAAAATGTGTAATGCAAAAATTGATAACCAGTAGTTTATAAATATTGAATAATCAAATGTTGGCGAAAGTTGCTTTGAATTTGCTTTAATGCAAACAAAACTTTAAGACAAAATGATTAAAAGTCTATTAGTCTATTAGCTACAGCCAACACCTGATGATCAGACGGTCTCACAGCGCCGCCTAGCAATAGTTACTGAAACTACTAAAGTACATGTATGCATGGTGGACGTGTGTAGTACACAATGCTTGCCACTGGTATGCAGCCTTTTTTGACAGTTTGCCTTCCAAAATAAACGGCTTGTGGCCGTCAAGACACTCTTAGAAAGTCTGTGGTTGATATGCAGATATAAAATGCTGTTAAGAATCTATTTCCGTTGAATATTCCTTCTCAAAACGTTCCTTATACAATTAAATCAAACAGTCTCCAGTTTAGCCAACAAACGGTCTCACAGCGCCACCTAGCAATATTAATCAGAACTGCAAGACGTACATAGAAGTGTACAGTGCTTATTGCTTGCTTATTACAAGTCTATACACATACAGTGCTTACAACTGTTCATGCACACTTCGAATTGAGATGTTTTAAATGGTACATTAGAAAGTAAAATGGCATTATTTTCCAAAATAATGAATGTGACATTAATTATACGTTATGTTGATGAAGCAAGTAATACGTAACAAGTAAGCTTTATAATGACTTCCAACTAGTTGGGCCGTCCTTGCTGTATTTCACTCTATACATTCTAATTAATAAATAAATAATAATCATTTTTTGCAATCCTCCTACCTTACATAATAAGAAAGTGTCATGCTTATTATACGCTGACGATCTAGTACTTCTATCTGAATCCCAACGGGGCCTGCAAAGATCTTTAGACAAGTTAGAAAACTATTGTAAATTATGGAATTTAAAAGTTAATCTTAAAAAGACTAAAGTCATTGTCTTTACAAAAGGAGGCCGTCTACCAAAAGACTGCCACTTCCTGTTTAGCAACAATGTAGTAGAGATTGTGACAAACTATTGTTACCTAGGTATTATAGTTAATTAAGCTGGCACGTTCAAGGCAAACAACAAATACTTACACAGCAAAGGTCTGAGGGCCCTCTTTGGAATTAATCAATCTCTTCACCAAGCAGACGCTACTATTTCAGTGAAAAACAAACTCTTTGATGCATGCGTAAAACCTATCTTGTTGTATGGTTCTGAAATTTGGGGATCCTTTAAAAGTCCAAAATCATCCCCAATTGAAGCCATCCACTTAAAATTCTGCAAACAATCATTAAATGTCCCCAAATCCGCCTGTAATCTTGCTGTGATGGCGGAATTAGGGAGATATCCTCTTAGACTAGAAGCCTCTCTCAACGCCATCAAACATTTCATTAGAATACGCCAGAACGTGCCAGCTGATAGTCTCTCAGCAGATGCCCTTCTGTGTCAGCTTGAGCTGGACACATCAGGTGCTAAATGCTGGGCTTCTGGAGTTCGCAAGACGCTAGAGGAATGTGGTTTTGCCTTTGTCTGGAATACGCCAATGTCCTCTGTTTTGAATCCCTCTCAAATTATTCCATCCGTCCACCAACGTTTAAAAGACATGTATTTTCAATCTTCCACAATGGAGATGCGTAACAACAACAAGCTAAGAACATATAGATTATTAAAAAACGCTTACCTCGAGGAGGATTATCTAAAGATTTCTAACGTCAAACACAGAACAGCCATCACGAAACTCCGGATTAGCTCCCACAAACTCCACATAGAAAAAGGCAGACACAACCACATTCCCTTGCAGCAAAGAATTTGCCGATATTGTGATTTAGATAAGATAGAAGACGAGTGTCATTTTGTTGTAGATTGCTCTTTATACAATAGCGAGCGAAATATTCTTTTTAACTGTATTCAAAATAAGTTTCCTACTTTTAAATATTTGAATAGTTTAGAAAAATTTATATATCTTATGAAATTAGACAAGCCGTGTTTTGTAAGTTCTATATGTTCATTCATCTACAATTGTTTTAAGAAGCGAGAAGAAGTCGATCCTGTAAACAATAGTATTATTTAGTTTGTCTTCATGACCTGTACTTAGCTCGAAAGAGCATAAATGTGCAATAAAGGTCTTTCATTCAATAAAAAATAAAATGAACTAGATTGTATCTAGAACTTTGTTTCCAGTTTCGTGTCACCTCGTGAAACATTAACATCGGTATGTTTCACTTCAAGTCATCAAGGGGTTCTTACTTGATTGCTTTACTGTAACATTCCATAGTGTGATATATTATATCTAACAACAAAACATGACACGGTGGTGAGTTGCAGTTTAGGTCCCACCACAAAGCGTAAAAAATACAGTTTAAAGATTGGTTAGTTCCGAAATACAAAGACAACATGTAAAAACTAGAATATTAAATATTGTAAAATTCTGAAATTAAAGCATTAGCAGGTAAAGGGTAAATCGTCTAAATTCCGTCTAAATCAAAATATCTCTGTTAGTTTCTGCCAGATACTGGCTTGTTGAACTCATTCCAACCTCCTTGTTTATTTAGAGCCTGTAAAAATCCAAGAATCTTTTGTTTTTGATCGGAAAATTCTTGGCGAGCCTTTAAATTGAGACTTTAACGATACCCTGGCGTACATTCTGTATTATTATCCAGAAACAGAAACAGTTTGTACTGAAAACAACAGCACTAGTCTCCAGTCAAGCGCATGTCATTTTTGGGCTGGGGGTGGAGGGGGGAGCATTAATCAAAACTG